TGACGTCATCACGCGTGATGTCATAAGCTCCAAAAGTGTAGTATTTGAATTTCAACTATATAGCTTTATAGCTAAAGTATTTTATTTATTTCATTTTTAATAAATTTAATAGCAAAACAATGATTTTTTTCATTGAAATTCATTACTTATCGGCACAGTAATCATTGTTGTATATTTCCCATTATCCGTACATAGGTCATTTATCACCTAACTGCACTACTACTAATAGGGTTTCCACTGATTTATTCACCATATGCTATTAAGGACGATGTGCCTCTTCCGCGTTTCTCATTCAAAAATAACCTCTTCTTGTATTCAAACCCCTGAATATTACAACTGTTGATGTTAACGGAAATTTTTGCAGATATGGTAAGGTATCATCCATACACTATTGAGAATGAGAATGAGTTATTGAGAATGAATTTGACGTTATATATTTCATCAGTGGACACTGATTTTTAACTGGATTATTTGTATTGACGAGTTTTTAAATGAATAGCAATCTCTTTATGAATGACACATGTACGTGATTGAAATACAAGTATTAACAGAAACAGTCTGAATCATTGCGAGTCTAGTTCGCTGATGTCAAACGCCCATTTTAAGATGTTGAGATGTAAAAGACACAGATCTTTATCATGTAGAGAGGAAAACTGCCACGTACAACAACCCGGAAATAAAACCTTGTTTTACCTAGTACATATTTATATGATAAGCTGCAATAAAACTCGAATATAAAAAATCCATTGTAGAATGTATAATAAAATAATGGAATGGAGTGGAAATAAATCAAGACGATGAGTTGAGAAATTGCTATCTGTTCACCACTAACAATCTTGGAAATAGACCATAGACTAAATGAAACGTACAAAGCTTGTTTTTACCCTCAAGCAGTGTTACATTCCGTTATTGCATCTACTGCTCCACTTATCTATGTAACGAAAGTGTTTGGAATAGTGGACATGGTGGAGAAACACAAATCTCGCGAGTTTTTTCTCGCTAGATCAACGAGATTTTGGCAGCTATTTGCGGCTTTGTTATATGAGCACCCGTGACGCATCGCGGCCATACTTTTACCCCCCTCCCCCCCCCCAAGTCTGCGATATTATTTGTTTTTACTTCAGTAGCAGTAGTCACAACAATGTGGAATGTGCAAATAACAAAAATAAGTTTTCTCAAACAAATCGCGTTTCATTTTCTTAACTCATGAACAATTTGAGTGACATACAATGCAGGTCTTCACTATAACGAGGTTACAGTGTATAAGGTCACAATAACAATAAATTGTTAACGTTCGAACATATGTCATTTTCCCGCCATAATTTTAGTGCTGCGTTTTTCATATTTTCAATCCATGTATTTTTCAATAATCGTTAATTTTAGACCAAATTAACATATTTTTCCTTTGCCTGCAGGTCTTGATAAAAAAATCACATAAAATGACCAACATTTTTTTGTGACAAGGTTACAAAGAGTTTACTTTCCTTAATCTGATTAATACATGTTACTTTAATATTATTCTTGCATGTATAAGTCATTGTCCGGTCAGGTCTTGTGACCTTCTACATGACGAACACTATGACGAACACGAAATAGTGCATTGGTTGTTTAAAATAATTGATAACAAACACAGTGACCCAAAAACAGTTGTCACTGCTTTTTATAGTTGGCTCATCTACAGATCTGAAAATGTTTCCATTAATAATGTTACAAATCCAAGCAGCCATGTGCAATAAAGTGCTCTCTTAAAAAAAAGAAGTACGCGTACTGAAGTAGAAAATCGATTGCATTCATATATTGTTGGTAAACTACATATTAGAGTTGATATTGTGAGTGTGATATAATGATGATGCAACAGCCGTCTCTAAAATTCTGCGGATTACTGTGTGTGACTCGTCAAAGGCACCACGTCGATACATATCTACTAAAACGGCCAATAACGAGAAGCATCAAATGTCAATATGTTGTTAATGGCACACGCCCCAAAGGGTATATATATATATCACCACATATACCGTAATATTTAATAGCCATGGTAGGCATCTGAGAGCCTAGGAGATATTTTTTTGTATTTCTTGTTTTCTGGAATAGTTTAAGAAGGGGTGGTGTAAATGTATAGTATACATACATGACAGACTGTACTTTAATGTGTGTTCTTGGCAACAATATAATTAAAGCATGCTTCACAAAAGAATTAAGGGTAACTAACCTTGACGTTGAATTACATCATCTCCAATAATCAAAAGTAGTAACCATATTTTTCGCAAATGACCACCGTGTTGACACGTCATGCTAAAAAAATAAAACATGACCTCTTGCTGTGTGGAAAAAAAAGGTAATGTTATCTTCTATATTTCTCTACGGAACTGATATCCATTTGGTAAAACATATATCAAGAAAATATCAGAAAAATCACTACATTACAGAGAAACAAGTATCACCCAGTAATTGAATTCTACGTATTATGTTGCATATAAAAACACAGCAGTGCAACTAAAATATATCTGCCAAGAATAGTATTGACTAATGCGTGAATGTTCTACCTTGAGTGAATGCAGCGACATCGTATACTTATTGGTACTATATATTACATGATAGATTGATTAAATCTAAATACTTTTTTTAAACAGACATGCACATTTAATAACTACACTTTTCAAATAATATCTAGAATACAATACTGGCGAAGATCAATGAAAAGTTTTTAATTGCAGAAATGACATTAAGAAACGCTTTGATTATTGTCGTATAATGTGCCATTTGTAAAATTCTCATGTAATCGCTTTGCTATACTGACATTATATTATTTCACATTTATTATGATAATCAATTAAAATTATATTACTTACATTTCAAAGAATATTAAAGAGGGAATATTAAATAGTGTTCTGAAGATTAGTCGTGATATGTATCTGTGAATTCACGTGTGTGGCTTCTATACGTTACTGCGTAGCATCCTAAGCACCATACTTTTCGCGGTCGCAATATATTAAAGTATACATATTGACTTCTTTGTAAAAGTTAAATTACTACCAATAATCCGAAGGCCATCAACTGCTCGGCTTATGGTAGGTTTACCTACTAGGGTCATTGCGTCAGTTGCAGCTGGTGAAGTTGTCTTTAAATTGACTTGACAACTGTCTCTCAACTATACACGCGATTACATTCAACTCTATCCGAACAACTAAAAATACATTTCCCAGTAAAACATTCTTCTATTTAAACCAATAGTCTTATCGATCGATATAACAAGTCTGTTAACGTTACGTAATATTGGATTGAGGCGTGGAAAGTACATTCACCGCACTGAGTCGAACTTTGACGTGTGAATCACTGATTCACTGTGTCAGTAATTACCAAGAAATGAATAACGGTCTTAAGGGGTGTGGAGCAAGCAGCGATATAAACCATTAACGTTTTATATATAGCAAAGCAATATCCTTCCAATCACACCATATACTCCCTTAACACGCTGTTAAGTGTAACCCAATAATGAGACGCCATCGTACTTGGCATAAATGTTCAAACAAGTGTATATGCCTCGAAAGAACACATTAAATGTTGTATACCTTCCCCAGGGTCACGTACGGGTTATCTCTCTAAGCGATATTACAATATTATACAGAACTATGGTGTTAGTTCACTAAAACAGATTCGACCTAGTGAACCATCACAATATGCATAGCAACCAACACTTGTATCCACTCCGCGGTAACCATGGTTATTGAAAATCGGTTAATTCTGAAATGAGGCAAAACACTCAAACGTATATTTGCCCACATGTACATGAAAAGTCATTTACTGCGATTAGATGCTGTTTAATGAACACATTCGTCAGCCAGTATTGTTAATGAAACTATTCCTTTACTTCCCGTACTTCATCTGCGTAATTAATTGTACCATTATAATCATGTGTATCAACTCCTAGTTGGAAAACAGACATTTTATAGTTAGCCGTTGGATACACATCAATGTTTCAACCAGAGATATTCTACGCTATGTGCATATTTAGAGAAAGTTTCTTGCAAGAGATCGGTTATCCAATCGTAACATCTAACAGTAAAAGAAATCAGATAGCAGCGTGTTTGTCGACATGTTTTTTTTCAACGTATTAAAACTGCTTTGTATATATGCTTCGATTCAACTACATGTTTGCAGATTATATGATAAAGCATATATTCATTGCTTATTTAACTATAACATGCACGAACCGTTTCCTTGGCAATGATTTCGTGATTAGCCTAAAATACCCCCAGTCTGTGTACGTACAGGCCAGTACTCGGAGAAAACGGAGCATGTGTCGCTTCAACGTTTCTGATTTTGTATGAACAAACTCGTTGTAGAGAATTATTTAGTTATTCTGTGCATGTTTCAAGAGTAGCACAGCAATATGACCTGACATTAATGGAAATGTCGGAGATACCGATCTTTACGTTTTCTTAATGCGAATTCACTATGTCGCCCGCGACACGCAAGCTATTTCAATCCGGCTGCCGTGAATTGTGAAGTGTTGCCATGGCAATAAGTGATTCTGTTTGGTGATGTTTACGTATCTATGAACTGTGATATTTAAGAGTATGCAGTTGTATTCTAGAACACTTGTAAATGGCGCCACATACGTGAGTACGAGGGCACCTGTGCGCATCTATGATAAGCGTTATTTAATATTATTTAATATATACTTCTGCCTTCGACATTCAGAAACAGAATATTATGGGATCGTGCCTAAATTTAGGTATTGTCGGTTAATTTGATAACCTCCTCTATAACATCACATTCTGTTCGAGATTAGGACATAGTGGTTTTGAGTAACGAACTCACAAACAAGCAAATATACTACTGAATTCTATATAAAAATATATCAACTTTCCATGAACAATCATTCAAACATTGTCAAAATTTAACAGTAAAACTCACGCTTATTTTACGTATAATTATTTATCGTTAGGATATTAGTTATTTAATTAATTTAGGAACTGTTTTTCTTCTTTGATTTTCAGTTCCAGCGGCTGGTATAGCTGCCGCCGTTGTATTTGGACTGTTCCTATTGTTGGCTGTGGCATTTCTACTTTACAAAGTTTATCGTAGAAAATGTAGCAGTCAGTCGAAATATGAAAGAATTGGCAAAGACTCCAAGCTACCAACACCTATGTTGAAAATAGAAGGAAAGGGACCTATCCAGCCAAAACTTGAGTAAGTATTGTAACTATAGTATCTTTGTTAACAGAAATGTTAATGTCAGTTTGAATATGTAAATAATATTACAAAATTAATGTTGCTTTAGGAACGACAGAGCATTTATGATTATTAGTCAATTAGTCATTTATTATTATTATCAATTCGTCGACAAAATTTGGTTATATCCAATAATGTCTGTCCGTCGAACAATTTGCAAATAACAAAAAGCAGAGATTCAGTATTAAGTTTGTTAATACATCAACAGTATCGTGATGAATAAGTACCACAAAAGTCGAGGTTGGTGTATGTACTTATGAAACTCCAAAACTGAGTTAAATTACAAAGCCTGGTCAAATACAGTGATACTTGTTGTCAGTAGACTCAAGTGCACTCTACAAAGATAACTGAGTGCATGTAAAGCCCATCGAGTTCAATTCTCGCATCAAGGATTTTGTAGTATCGAGAGTAGTACTTTTACCACAAGTGTTAACACGCTTCAAATGTATCCCTACACTCATGGTCCTATAACACAAAACACAAGGAGCATGTATCAAGAGACACAGTGACTTGATTATCAAAATACTATGTGTTTGCCTGACTAGGGTGCTTGAGTTATAGAAGCAATATCAACGTCAACATAAGTACTAAATTACAACTTCATTCCATTTAAGGGAATAACTAAATTTGTGTTTCTTTCATCATGATACGAGATTCAATCCCCAAAACAAAGAACACCGCCGTAATCAAATGTTTAATCTGAATGAAATGTTTACAAAAACACATTTGAAAAGCATTTGATTAGTGCCCGAGGCATTTAAGTTGGTTCAAGAAAGGGCACTTGATTTGACTCCGAGTTCGAGAAACGGTATTTAATTTGGTTCTTTGTTCAAGAAGGGGTATAGGAACGGGCGTTTGGTTTGGTTTCGAATAAAAGAAAGGGCACTACTTGGTTGGGTTGTGTGTACAAGAAAGTCGCGATCGTTTGGTTTGGTTTCGGGTTAAAATGGGGGTTTCGATTTGGTATCGAGTTAAAGAAAGGACATTTCATTCGGTTCCTGGTTTTAAAACGGGCATTTGATTTGGTTCCGAGATCAAGAAAGGGTAATTCATCAAAAAAATGGTATTTGTCCTCGGGACTAAAGGGCATTTTAATATTTGATAGCACTAACGAACTACCCAATACCCTGAGGGCATTTTTGTTCAAATCAATCAAATGAAAGAATGTTTTGACCAGCAAAATTTGATTACGGGGATGTCAATAACCCAACGTCAGCAGTCATCAGTTACACGCGTCATTGTAAATGTGTATGAATCAAAGGCAAATAAAAACTGTTCATATTATATACGGTTTTATATAGGCACACATTTATAGTGACGTTGAACTCATCACGTCATCATTTAAGCACGTTTTTCTTCAACTCATTTCCCTTAGCTTATGGCCGTCGTAAACTCTGATTGATTACGCTCGGTCATAAACAACTAATACGATGTTGGTTTGTATCTTCACAGTCTTAAGTCTGTACCATTTGCAGTACCTCAGTCTACTCCCACCCGGGAGGATTTCCGCATGTCGACGTTATCAAATCAGGAAAGACGCGACAGCCTTGGGTCAGCTCCGATCACCAGTAACCTGAATGGCAGTATAGTAGCCAGTGACTCCGAGTCAAACTCTCCCGTAGCAACCCCATCACGACGGTCTTCCGTAACAGAAATTCCAGGTGAGCGGAAGTAGCAATAAACGTCAGAAGCAAATGGCCGCCGAGATATCGTTGGTGGATACATGGAGCGCTTCTCGACGTGTTTTTGCTCGTCATATTATTGTTTCATTCTTCCCGACATCGTGCCAACTGTTAAGTATATACCGTACATACCAGTTATTCGAACCACATGCGCATTAAATTACCAGTACGTAAAAAGTATTTCAAAGCGCATGCGCATTGATTTAATAATACGTACCAATAATTTTAAAAACGTACCAATTATTCAAACTGCGTGAGCACTGACTTAACAGCTCGATTAATTCAAACCGCATGCGCACTGAATTAATAGTACGTACCAATTATTCAAACTGTACACCCTTTTCATCGAACGAGTGATATGTTTATGCGCTGTTAAATCATCGTTTTTGGTTTTTCGGTGTACGTCAGAACGATAAATATTGAACTCACCTAATGAAAAGGTTGTGTGAAAAGGATGTTTTGTCAGTAGTGCTCGTACAGTACCACGAGAGAGTTTGAAAACATGACAACTGCCATTACTACCATCTGGTTTTGTTAGTTGACATTTATTGTCACTATTTATTTATGCAATTATATTGGTACATAAATCACAATTAATTCTCTTGTCATTTAATGGTTTACCCTGGTGTATTAATGTTGAACTTCCCCGGCAACTCGTAGCTGACTCACTCATGATCCTTTCTAAAACACGGCATAGACAAAACACTGTAATGAACTTCACACATGCTGTCAGGTGATATATCATCACGCTCTCTCATTATGTTTCACTCGCCTAGTAAATAAAACACACATGACATGCGATCGGTATGAACAATACATTTCACTGCGAAGTTAGCTGACTCCTGGCGCTGTTTATTTCCGATCTCTCTCGCGATTCCTCTAATTTCTCGGCATCTCTTGGAATATTTCTTATTATCTGATGACTTACGTGGAGCATGCTGGGTAGTCATCACTGCATTCTAGGACATTGACTTGATTTCTCGTCGCCCCTTCATAAATCCACGGCTTATTAGTCTCTTAAAGAGGAGGCATCAATCATTTGGTAATCACCAACCAGAATTTCCTTCTTATCTCTGTCAGAGACTGGCGCCAACAATCTTGGTAGAAAACGTACCCTTTGACGTGTTTTGCAGTGATTGCGTCTGATTTCCTGATCATGTCATTAAGTCTTGGTATCCATACAGGTTTCGGAGTGTTGGTTTGTTTGCATGTGTACAGATAATTTAGTGTAACCTGACGCTAATTCGGGGTGTTTCAATTCAGTTATTATAAAATACAAAATGTCGTTTACAGATTCAAACATAAATATCTAAATAGCTAACAACATAAAATAAAATAAAATAATCAAACCATGTGCTTGTGTTGTTATACGTATGCTGGGTACTATCAAGGATTTAGAAGATAGGGATAACTTTCAATAGATTTTGGACAAAACACAAAATATAGCGATGCCGACATGTCAGCCATTTCGAATTTTTCCCAGGACCTGTCGTGCCGGCAGCAAATATTTTTGTTATCAGTAACGGCTCAAAATATATATTAAAAAACGAAAACATAACAAGTCCGAGTGAAGATGGTATGTTTGGCGGAAATCAGAGTATTTATTTTGTTTTCTGACCACTTTTTACGGACTGGTGTCGTTAAATGTACACCGCGGAGTTGGGCTTCGGCTTGTCCGGTCCCGAAACGACGCGACACCACGAGTAACCATAATCTTATAAACCCTTTGTAGTATATACAAATTAAGGTTGTGCACCTGTTTTTGTCATGTTTGTTATGTTAAAGCCTGTGGGTAAATATCCACACCGGCATTTTAGTTTTTCTCTAGTTGGTTGTAGTATGTAAATATTCGTGCACGTGATCAAATAGGACACCAGTCTTTTTAAAGGATATATCATGCCCTTGAGGATCATTTGTATTATATATACAGATATGCGAGGCACCAAATTTCAGTGAAAATCACGGTCCGATCAAATTCCTCAAAACCCCACCACTATAAACAAATTTAAAAGAAACCCACCACCTGTTACAAGTCCAAGATCATGGTCGTGAAAAATGGACTACAGTGAATGGTTCTATTATTGGAACACATCACAAAACCTATCAATACAGCAAAAAAAATAAGACCCTTTTAACTTCCCAAAATGTCAATAAAAGGTCATTAACCATTGGAAAAAGTACCAGTTGCGCATTTTTAAAAACATAATTGATATACCCTTTGAATACTTCGCACACACTGTTGGTGAGTTTTACTAGTGACCCCCATCCCCATCGGGTTGTCGTGTCACAGTCTGACGAATGACGACTCGAATCGAACCATGCTGCACATACCTCCACAAACAACATTAAGGACATGAACAAAACGCAGTCGAATTCGATCTTCAGTTCAACCCCAACTGTACGTTTTTGCGACTTTCTAATTAATTGCTCGGTGAGTCAAGCGAAGTTTGCTCCATGAATATCTCAACACTACAACGGTTATAATTACGTCCGTCGCTATTCCTTGCAAACAAAATTGCACTGGTCACACTCCAGTCATCCCCTCTCCCATGATTTTAAATGGTTAATCCTTATTGAGGGTTATAAAGTAATATAACATAGCAGTGTCATAATAATACTCTAACTGTGTTAATCACAGGTGCCTATGTTCTGGGTGAAATTAACCCAGATTTGTACAAAATTCATGACGACGATGATGATGTGGATACATACTACCCAGAGGATCACATGGGAAGAATTTGGTTTGCCGTCGAATATGAGCATGAATCCGAAAGACTTGTTGTTACACTCGTTAAAGCTCGGAATCTACCGAGCAGGGTACTCGGGAGTGTCAATCAGTGCGATCCTTTAGTGAAGATATTCCTACTGCCGGACGAGAGACGCCACCTACAGTCGAAGTTAAGAAGGAAGACCACAAACCCAAAGTTCGATGAGAGTTTTGTATTTCAGGCAAGTTTTGCTAATGTGTTTGGTTTTAATTAATTCGTTGTCAGCATGGACGCGTACGTGATCGAAACGCTCGTCAAGTTTTTGTGGGCTTCAATCTATTTGTTCGTTACCCCTTTCGGCAGTAAGCATAAAGACGTATAGTGAGATTATATTTTATGGTTATTGTGATTATAAATCTTGTCCTGTCCGTAGACTTGGATGAAGCACAAGTCACGCGTGAAACAACACAGCGCAGACGTGACATAAATAATTTGTTGTGCATACGGAAGCCCTTTAATGCGTGGGTGGCACTTTCCATTATTTACCCAACCCCAGCCTCTCTTTCACTTTTGGGCGCCATTGGCGGACTCGGTTACAATAAAGAGAAAGATACAAGCACTCAACTGTGAAATGTACGAGGGTTACAGTGATAAATGGACAAAATACCAGTCGTAACCTTACAGCAAAAAAAGTAAAATGTTTATGGAATCTTAAAAATTCGGCCAGTTAAAAAAAGAATTACGAGCTCCTTTTTTACATGCGTTAAGTTGTGTATATTGCAGTAAAAATTTCGGAATTCGTATTCTACTGAATAAATTTTGGTTTTATTTCCACTTAAAAAACGTTCCCGATAAAATACATTGGGACGTGCGTCATATGTTTTGTAGCTGGCTTCCCGGAAAATTTAGCCTTTAAAATATTGATTGTGTTTCCTTTTTATATTGAAATAAATTAAAAATAATAATAATTTTTTAATATAATAAAACTAAAATAATAATAAATTAAAAAAAATATATTAATTACGTGAATGTTATTTTAGGTGACGTATAAAGCCTTGCTTCAGAGGACACTCCGGCTCACTCTTTGTGACGTGGATAGATCGAAGAGACACAGGGTGCTCGGACATGTTTTACTCCCACTGAGAGACGTCGATTTTGACAACAATGAGAAGGTGATCATGTGGCGAGATCTTGAGAAGGACGTCACAGAGGTAGGTTAAATTACCTTATATATATATATATATATATTATTATTATACAACTGTCAATACACTGAATTCTCATTGGCCGATCGGTATAGCTCTGTCATCGAAGTTGTGTGTGTGACTCATTACAATTTTATGTTTCCCCACATTTGTATGAATCGTTTAAAAAACAAACACACACACTATTACTATTACACTATTATTATTGAAGTTAAGAAACCATTGTTATTTTCATCTGATAATGTAGCAAGTATGCTAGAATGTCGTTTGTCTGTGAACTTTTTTCAAATGCGTATGACTGAAATACAGGCGACCACGACTCCCTAATTAAACTGTGTATTTCTCTCTTCCCGGGCTACCACTGCACGTAGATATCCGTGGTATTATAATTGAAATGAAAGACTCCGCACTGCCCATTATTGTGTATTATAAATCACAATTATTAGAGGTTTTTTATGACATGATCATAGCTTCACATTGTAACACGATAATGTAAACCATACACGTGAGTAAAAATCAATTGGACAAAAATCCCCCAAATTTAATTAGATTTGTTTAATCCTGGTGGTAATAATAAATCCCCTACAACGTCATATTGGATTCGTGGAAGGGTATAGACGCGATAATGTGCCCGGCATATCTTATCTTCACCTTATTCATTGCGGCGCTGTGTGGGATTCATTATTATTTAAATAACAGGGCTCGGACGGGGATATTCGCTTAAAATAATACGTTCGGCTACGTCTCGCCTATGTTTGTGCACCTCTCTGTCTTGTTTTCACGCAATAACGGCCACTGCGTCGTTCTTTATTCTCTGAATTTCTAATTTGCAATATACTAGTAAATTAGGAAACGCAAATCCCAAACAAGGAAAGAAGACCTTAGTTTCGAATATGGCGATTGTTTTACTGAAAACAATATTCGCCATTTTATAAAAGTAAAGTTATCACCAGCTACGCCCCCAACATTTTTTTTCGAAAAAGCGACACCCCCTCCCTCTGCCCCCCGCCCGCCACTGGGACAAGATGACGCATATCAGCGACCAGGTATTAAAGGGGTCGACTATTTTAAATCATCGGGTGTCTGGAAGATTCGATTACTTGGTTAATAACCATGAGTTTACGGAGGGGAATGTTGGTTAGTCGCCACGGGGATGCTTATACATTGCATTTACAGATATGCGTAGCAACTTATGATTTGAATATCTCATGAGACAACGTTGTTCAACGAGAGTTCCTTTTGTGAACCAGTTGTATATTACAATTCGTGGAAGATATGTATACACCGAAGTTGTTATTGACTCCAGTGTGCGAAACACACAATGGGAGTCTTTGCAGTCAGTGGGTGTGTATATATGTATGTGTGTGTCCGTCTGTTCCACTGATATCTCAAGAATCATGTTATTTTTTTATGAAACTTTTAGCATCGAAGGCTAATGCGCAGATTTGATTAAATTTTAGTTTTAACACAGGCATATTAATTACCTAATTTGCATGTTGATTACCTAATTTCGGTTAAGAATTCATACATATTAATCATCTAATTTGTATAATGAATGGTCACTTTTGGGCCTTTTCACTGATATCTCAAGTACTAATCATCACCTTACAATGAAATTTGGTACATAGATGTCATAGGACAATGTTTTTGATCAATATCCATGCATATTAATTACCTGATTCAAATAGTAATTATTACATATCAGTAACAACTGAAACATAGATGCTCTAGGACTATACGCATACCTAATTAGTTTTGGGTAAAAATCTGTGCATATTCATCACTTAATTTGCATAATTATTAGTATTTTTGTGCTTTTCCACTGATATCTCAAGTGCTAATCACCACATATCAATGCAACTTGGTATATGGATGCTCTAGGATAATACACAGGCCTGTTTAGTTTTGGGTTAAATCTGTGCACAATAATTACCTAATTTGCATAATAATTTACTTTTCGGCTTTCATCACATTACGATGAAATTTGGTACATATGTGCCCACAACAATACACAGACTGAAATATATGCATTATAATTTCCTAATTTGCATACCAATTACCCATTTGTTCAGCTAAACAATTGTTGCATTTCAATAAGATAAGTATAGAAGCCTGGGAACGATGCATTAGTTTTGGGTTGAAATTCGAGCATATTAATTGCCGAATTTGGTTCATATATGCTCTGAGGTAATCCGCAGACGTGATTGGTTTAATAACTAAAACATGCATATTGATTATCTAATTGGTTATTACCCAATTTCTGGTATCTCAAAAGATCAGATTTAAATTGAACTTGTGGTAGAGGTGGAATAAACTAGACTGAAAACCACTGATGTAAAATCATGTATTTTCTGTAAGTATTATAAACTTCAATAATGTGAGTCACATTGTTTTCATACAAATATTAGTTGCCAAGCTTCTTGATAATCATGCTGTTGCATCTTGGAAGGCTAATTATTTTTTAATATGTATCCAATACTCTCAGGACAAATAGTTCTTTCCAAGCTTTCTTTCAAATTATTGTGAGCAAATCTTGTTCTAATGCTACCCAGGTAGCTGAATGTCTCACCTATGATAAAGACCGGTGGTCGTTGCGACGCAATGTGTCGATATAGGTTTCACCATCCGCATATCCAGTGTAAAATACATTGATTAGGACGAAATGTGACGAGCGCCTTGTGACGACTATCGGCCTTTAACTCAACACGATCAATACGATAATGTGACGTCATCTATGTGACACTTGTTTTTCATTCTAGACAGTATCGGAGAAAGGCGACATCCAATTTTCTCTAAGCTACAACGAGGATTTGGATCGACTTACAGTAACAATAATTAATGCTAAGGGACTCCCAAAGCTTGACAACAATCCATTTGTAGGTGAGTTCTGAGATTTTAAGTGTTCTTGTCTTCTTTGTGTGTTTTCTCTTCACCGCTAGGACGGTGTAGTGTCTTATAGACGTGAACAATTCCCAGTGTATCTGACAATAACATATTTCTCTGCGGCTGATAATAAAACGTTGTTTTTGAAATTAAAAATTGCGTCAAAATGCAAATTTCGCTTTGCGTTTGTCTATGTGACTTGATTCAGCAATTACCTATTAAAACTTATTACTCTTATTCTTTAGGGACATTCTGTCTCGATATCGTCTGGAATAGCACTATCTCGAGTTGATTTGTCTGCTAATTGTACGAAATGTTTTGTTCACATTGGACAAATGCCGCCTGAAATGATCAACAAATATTTGGAAAGCTGGATTTGTACTTATATATTTTATCGTATAAAATGGGCCAATAATTTTGCAAAAAAACCTAGTTATGTTTACGATTTTGGATGATGAAAATAAATGTACACATATGTTTTTCTTTCAGATTCTTATGTCAAGATTTGTCTATTACATGTGAGCAAAGTAATTAAAACAAAGAAGACGTCAATAATAAAGCGATCGTGTGACCCTGCCTTCAACGAGTCTTTTATACTCAAAGTATCATCGGAGCAAATGGACACTACTAGTCTAAGCATTGCCGTGATGAAACATGCACCTGGTGTCAAAGGTCAGTTTCAAAAAAAAAGAATACAATTCAACTCAATTCATTCGTAGACCTTACGATATAGGGATAGAAGACTGTAGCTATAACGTCTGTTTGCGTAACCGTTTCACCTACAGTGTTATAATTCGATCATATCTCGGAGTTCACGGAACGTTATTATGCAAAGCGTATGTAAATGTGAAGCGGAAGGGTCGTCACCTGCGCAGGCGCGGGAATTGATTCCCTATCGATGATAGCAACACACCCTAAGAACGCAAAGGTTCATGGGTGTAAACAATGACACGTTATGGTCACCTGACGCATGCGTAGGTGACGACTCCCCGCTTTAACTAGCAATTTGACAGAAAAGCGGGGTCATTTTTAGAATTGAGAATTTGTAGGGTCTACAATACAATAAATTGTCATATAGAAAATCCTATTGTATTCCCCTTTCTTTGTTGTAACAGGCGACAAGCAGATTGGACGTGTAGTTGTTGGTCCATTTATGTACGCCCGTGGAAAAGAACTTGAACATTGGAACGATATGCTGTCGGCCCAGAAAGAACAAGTAACACACTGGCATTCGTTGACATAACTGAAATATTCAACATTTTTTTTTAAACGTAGAAAAAGTTGTAGCTATATTTCTCTGTGAGAAACAGGAATGAGTCATTTACATTAATTAAAGAAAATAACCGGCGATGACGCAATGAAAATAATTGGTTATGACGTAATGGTAGCGAACAGTACTGTGGTTTCATTCTGACGTAGGTGGCGCTAGATTTGTAGCTATTATGGGGAATATACAGTACATGAATATTCTTACGCCCATATAGACAAGAAGACATTTGTTATAGAACTGATAAATATATATATATATATAAATTATATATGATATATATGTGTAATACAAGTGGAAATTAGAATTTAAAAACTGGAAAACAAACTTTCATGGCAAATTTATTCTATTTATTTAGTATAGTGATGAATCGCGATATCTTCAATTTATTAAGATTAATTAATTTTAAAGATAAATAATATTTATTTAGTATAATGATTATTTATATTTAATTATAATATTTATTTTTATTTATTTATTTATTTATTTATTTATTTGTTTGTTTATTTATTTATTTATTTATTTATAATCAATATTAATAATGTCCGTACCGTTATTTTTTATATATCTTAAAACTTGATTTGATATGATATATATGATAATCATATGGTATGATATATTAATACATATGTAATATAATATGTATATTTGTACCACTTGATATTCCTGTCTATAAAATTCATGTTTAGTATCCGGTTGACTACATATTACGACCACTACGCGTTCAACTGTTTATTGTATAAACATAATATAATCTGCGTCCTTACTAGATATTTCTAATATTGATATTTTGAGGAAATATTAGTATTTATAAAAGAGATATAAGATTTCCAACAGTGGTGTTGTGAGATTGGTGTTCCAACAAGACTCGTTCTGGTGGTCAGCAAGGTCACTTGTAGTTGAAATTGGTTATTACTTACTACTTATATAGCGTGACCTGCAGAGCCGAGAATCCCAGATAACATCAGACCATAGTTCAAAACGCAGAGTTACTTTTACTATTACAAAAGATTATTAGTACGTTTAGGTATCGATGTGATCACATTTTGACAGCCTCAGTATTAATTCGAATTCACGATTTCAACTGTTTTGTTACGGTTTCACGTAGTGATACATCGGAAAATCGCTACCTATATTTTTTAGATATTAATATTCGATTGTTACATGTTTGTATTGCTAAAGTGAACATTTTATTTGGTTATTTTATGATAAGCCTTGGCGTATGGAGAATTTACAGGAAACTACGTTTAAACATTGTCGTTGGAGTAATTCTCAAATACGATCCGAGATGAAGGACGAATTATATTTAATGTACTGAATTCTAGTCCATCATGATGGAAGCTCCATAACCATCAAGATGACATCACTACGTATGTTATAGTTATTGTCCGTATCGAATGTGAATTAACTTTGTATTTTGTTTCAGCGAAATGATTGTGCGTCGTTTAAAAACACAATTTTTTTAATAATAATAATAATAATAATAAATTTGGCCGCGAAATTTCGAATTTATTCTACCTTGTCAGTCACATGACAAGTCCTTACTCTCGTGACTATATTTGAGGGACTGTATGTTTTATTATCCTACATGTGTTTTTTTTTATGATCGACTTTCTGTCATAATAACTAGCAACCGTCTACAGTATATGTATTAACGTGATACACGCTGTGGTATGAATTTGATGTACATACTCAACCGAACATAATCAAGAATAAGAGGTTTTCTATTGAGGTGTATATTTATTTGTATTCTGTCGAATATAATTCTATTTGTGTGATAACTTACCTTAGCCTGGGAATCTGAATGTAAAGATTGGATATTTTGTTTGAAATCCATCACTGTTCGTTAGTATTCGGATTCGTCACCTCGTCTCTTGCCGTAGATGGCGTGTCAGTTTTCATTAAAAACGTCTATATTCAGTTGAACTACGGTTCAGGCTTATTTTTAAATTCACACGTTAATGGTTGTCGAATACTAAAATGAGTATTAAATCACCGATGCAAATATTTTCCTATGATGATAAAATATGGCCTTATACGTTTTTTTCCAACCCAGTGCAAAATGTGTCGATTGTTTGTTATTCAGTAACTCAAAACTTGAGGTCCCATTACGCTAGTGTAAGTTGTCATACTATCACAAAATCGATACATAGTAGGACGTTGGATACATAAGTCGTATGTATAGGGTATTTGGTTACCATGGAGATGGGAAATCTTGTTTTTCAATATGGCGCCCTTACGAAAGATTGTAATTTTATTGATATATGAGTAACTTTTAGAAAGAGCTGATAGCCCTTTATTGTCTCACTTTAAACACCAAGTATACCATTCATCGTAACATTATATAGTGTACTTATTTCCCTGACAGCTTTATGTGCAAAATTATTTTTTTTTTGATGCAAACTTTAAAATACACCATCACAATAAAAATGTTTGCCAGTGCACAGTAAACAATGTTAATAAGCAAAATGTGAATACAAAAAAAATGATGGTATTTCTGAAAAAGTCTATGTAAACGGACACAATAGCCACAGACTATTACTGTCAGCATAAGATAAAACCCAGAATCATTAAAATTGTATAACTTTTTTTTAAATGTCTCGTTACTCCAACTTATCTAATCATATTTCATCGTGTATTTCCCAACTTGCCCTGACTTACAATCAATTTTCGCTTATACGCCAGTTCCACCTTAATTAGAATAGATGGTGAAAATACTGGAAAATTACAACTTTCTAAACGGCTTAACTGTTCGTCATGAAATGGACGCACCACTTAAGTAATTACAATTCTATTACAGAACGATTACGTCACTATTTCCCATGTGCGGGAGAAGATACTATCCTGACATTATTTCTGTGCATAATCCATCACTGGCGAGTGGTGTTTTCCATTAGTGTACACAGAGGGAATTTATTATTCATTTTTATAATTTGTTGTCATTATTATTAATCACAAATCGCCCAGGGTATGTTCCCCCTGGGTTGCTGCAGAAATCTGTGTTGTATGCGTGTATCTTAATAGAGTTCTCATTAATAAAGTCATACAAGCAAAACATGACATTTATGGTAACTATAATCATTTATTAACGATGTGTTTTTCAATTTTAATATATCTTTGTGAAACCTGTCAAAAATTGCCCAATTCTCATAAATTTGCTATTCTGCTAGATCGGAAGTTTCACTAATAAAATAATTCGAAATGTAAATATATTAAGCTAATTAAAAGTCAAAAATCATAAATCAATGTCCCATTTCATTTACAAGGTTCAGTTCGTACTGGATCATCCATAGTTTCGCAATTTGCCATCGCTTTGTTACCGTCATGCTTCGTCATGCTTATATTTTTGTTATCAACGCACATGAACCCCCCTCCTCACCCCACACCAAACAAAATGAAGAACTCTTGTTCAAACTAATTCTTACACAATCATGACAATCAATTGTGGACAAAGTGAGATTTTGAAGTGGATGTTGCTATGTGAAAATGAGCCAAAATTGGGCTCAGTAGACTCTGAGCTTAAGTTTATTGTGTAAATGGGGAGCATTGATCTAAGAACTTTTGTTCAGTGCCCTAATCACAGTTTTGAGCTACTACCACTGTAATTGTACTACATCTATACATGTACATTGTGTTATGTAATTTTTATGGAAAAAAATATTTTAAACTTGTATTCCTGTGTTGTGCAAAGCCTGTTGCCAAAACAACTCGTCCGCTGTGGAATATTCGGACATGCCTTTTAGTAATTTTTGGCGGATTTTTTCACTGAATTTTAAACCTACGTACAGTATATTTTCTCATTCATTTACACAATGTATTTCTTTGTGAGTAGTCGTATCCGGTTCACACCAAGTGTCACAGGAAATGCTACATGTGAGCGTAAGGGGCGCTATTTATAATAGTTGAGTATTCTTGTATACTGTAATTACATTAATAATTCACTGGGTTTTTATTTTAATTTTGGCTGAAAATTAAAATCTGCTAAATTAAATATACATGAACATGTAAATTAACAATAAAACTCATTGTTTCCTTGGTGGATTTACAGTATGTCGAATAAGGGAATGTTTGTTGATATTGATGTACATTCATATCATTTGGCAATTTTTGTAAATGTAAATTAATAAAATGTTTCCATATACATGGATTATAGTGTCTATGTTAATTGTGTCGTTCTCATTTCATTAATGTGGCCGTTCTGCAAAAACGGTGAACGCAATACGGTATTAAGCACCTCAGACTACTATAGACAATTGGAAGGTACTTAGGGTTGGACCATTTAATTTTTGAGGGGGGGAGGTCAGCTCAGTGAAAAGCAATTTTTTTTTTTTTTTTTTTTTTTTATGTGTTTGGAATTTTTTTTTTATCAGTAGGTTTGCTTGCAAATTTTTTTTTAGGAGTTCATCATATCCAACATTTTTTTTTCATTATCTTCAACGGAGGTAGAAAAGACTTGATATTTTACTACTATTTTACGTTTTTTGACAAAGTGGCCTCCATTTCGACAAATTTGATCAAATCTCAAGACAAAACAGTCGGCCATTTTGGTCCAAATTTTGAAAAAAAAATATGACGTGCACGTGTAACCCAATATACATGATCACCATACAAAGTCTGATTGAAATCGCCGTGTTCACGTTTAAATATCAAATTTAGCAAATTTGAGGGACAAAATGACTGTCAGTCAGCCATATATAATTGAATCGTAACAAAAATTGGCATATGTAGGTCATCATAATTGTCTGTATGCCAAGTTTGAACGAATCGGTCAAAGGTTGTCCAATAAATAGATCCAGAAGGACGGACAGAACCCAAATTAATAATCCCTGTTTTCGGACTTCGTCCGAACTGGGACTAAAAAGGTTCGTCGGCAGTCCGAAAACAAAAAGAAAAAAAAAGAAGAAA